AAATGAAACTTTACGATAGAAGGACGGAGCAATAGGACAATGGAAAAAAAAAAAAAACAAAAAGAAAAACTGAATTTAAGGATTTTTATTTAATTCAAGAATAAGAATGCAAAATATATCTATCTAATGCCACATCACAAAGTTAATAAATTATAAAAGTAGTACAAATGAACATTTAATAATCAAAATTTTCAAATCCAAATTTCCTGATGACACCTAATTTTCTATATTTTTCAATTGTTGTAATGATCTCTTCATTCAATTCCAACGTCGTAACAAATAATTTTAACGGTTTATGTGGAATTCGATTTCCCCAACTTAAAAGAAATGATTCCATGTCCTCGCGAAATAATTCTCTTGTATCATTATATAACTTCAATTCATTAAAATTTTTTGGTGAAAAGCTTGCGATAACTTCGAGAAACTCTTTCTCATTTAAAAAGTCATGACCACACCACATTTTGATACTTTCTAAAGCTTGACAACTATCAAGTATGGCTTTTAATAGATTCGTCTCATCCTTTCCAAATAATACGAAGAGATTTTTAAGATTTGGACAAAAACGAGATATTGATAATTTTACTGATTTGTTAACATCAGATAAAACCAATTCAACAAGGGTTTGTCCATTGTTTTCCAAAAATTTCGTGAAGAATTCACTTTTTGGTTGTCTGTTAGGAATTTTCAAGACTCGTAAATTTTGAAAGGTAACATGTTGTAATTTATCAAAATCGGAAATATATCGATCAGAGCAAATAAAGAGTTCTTGTAAATTCTCAAATAAAGCGATAAATGAGAATGGTACACTGTCTATATCAGTATTAATGTGTAATTTTGTTAAATTATTATGATGTTTAGTTAGAGCGGGTACGATTTCCCTCCAATCTTTGTCTTCAAAAGCCTTTAAGTTTAAATATTTCAAATCGACTTGGAAGGTAATTAAGTCCTTCAACCCATCTGATACGCTGTTTTTAAATTCTATTGTCAATGATTGTATATTATAACATATTTGAGACATTTGAAAACAAAATTCGGGGTAAATATTTGAGTCACAACTAAATGCTGATAGATCTTTCAAACAATCTTTTGCTCCGGGGAAATACGAAAAGGGCATGTATTGCGTGTCTAACCTTGAAACATAATCCAAAGATTTTAAAGATGAAATTTGACTCATGAAGCCTTTAAACAATTCTTGTAACATTAAATATTTACTAAAGTATAGGCTTTGCGAAGAAGAAATATGTTGTTTCTTTAGAGCATCTTCAATAATTTGACCAATCGTACAAATTGAAAGAACCTTGACAAATGATAAATAATTAAATATTGGTGGGTTTAAGGTAGGCGTTGGAACAACAATTCCATTAATATTATATAAAAGGTCTTTTGATTCACTGGGGAGACAAGCAATTATGGTTCCAAGGGTTGCAAATGGTATATGTTCTCGATGATGTAAATAATATTGGATGCTAAAAATATTTCTCCAAAAAATCCTAACTGCAACTTCGCACCAAGAACGATTAACCAATAAGCATGAGCGTAATGAAATTTTGTCTTCCGCTAAGTATTCAAAGATTTCATTCAAACAATCAGCAGGAAGTTGACATGTCATTTTATAGATATACAAAAAAAAAGGGAAAGGACAAATTTTTTGTTAAAAAAAAGAGTGAGAAAGAGAGAGACGAAGGTGACGAAGGTTCATTTTACGTTTCAACAAGGCCTTATAAATGATTTTCGTGCGACAAAGTTGAGTATATGTGGCTGGCATAACGGATTGCCGTTTAATTAAATTAACCTGATTAGTAAAACTGCAGACGATCCTGTATTATTTGAGCATGATAATATGGTTTGATCAACATCAACAAATAAATTATTAACCAACCCAAATTGTCAATTTTATATCATTAAAGTTGACTTACGAGTATAAACCTATATAAAACAGATTTTTTAACTTATTTATTAAGCAATTTAAAAAAAGCGATTTAATACTATTATAATTAATAATAATTTATATTTTGTTTATATTAACAAAGAATTATATTTGATAATAAAATAAAAGTAATTAAATGAATTATTTTATTTTTTTTAATAATTTTAAATAAATAAATAAATTATATCTAAAATGCTTATTATTTCTTAGATTGTAGGCTTTGTAGACATATTTGCTTGCTTATTTACTATAAATTCTTTTCTGATTTACTTTATGAAAAATTTTTTAGAAAGAAATTGTCTTTTATTTATATAAAATAATTACATATAAGTATTAATAAGATAAATGAAATAAAAATACTAAATATAATAAATAAAAAATATATGAAATAAAATACATAAATAAAATAAACATAGAAATAATACATATAAATATAAAATGTTTATAATAATCTAAAGTTAAATAAAATTTCATATATATTAAAAAGATAATTGATAAAAAAAGTATTATATAGATATTAAATATAATTGATATAATATTATTTAATAAATCTAAATAATACAAAAGTTATTTTTTTTAAATTTTAAAATAATAAATGAATAAATGAATAAATAAATATTATATAATATTTTATAAATAAAAATTAAATTGTTTACTAAGGTTTTAATTTTATTATAAAATTAAATTTTTTAAAATATAATAATGTATTAAAAATAAATAAAAAGTAAATAAATATATTTAATAAATATTTAAAAATATATAATAATTCAAATAATTAAATTAAATATTATATTTTTATATTAAATATTTGATTTTTCTTTTATATTTAGTTTATTAATTATTATACAATAAATATAAATTTAGTTTAATAAAAATATTATATAAATATTTAAGTTATAAGATTAAATCATAAAAAAACTAACCTAATTAATATTAATTTAACTATTATATTTAAATAAATTCTTATATTTTAAGTAAATTTAATATTATTTAAATGTAAATCTTATTTATAACTATATTAGTATTATAAAATAAATTATTAATGAATCTATTAGTTATTTTTCTAATTTATTTATTTAAAAAAGTTTTTTTTAATCATAAAATATATTTTAATCATTTATTTATTATTTCAAATTTATATAAAATTATTGATAGAAAAAAGAAATTATAAGAGTTATTATAGTATTAACTAAAATAATTATTATATATTTATTTAAATTTAATAAAATATCTAAATTTTTTATTTAACTAATTTTTTATTAAACTTTTAATATAATTTTGCCATCTTTATAAGTTTTGATCTAGTTTTTGAATTTCTTTAATAAAGTTTAATATAATTTGCTAAATTTTTATCTTTATTATTTATATAATCTGCAAAACTTTTAGGTTTTAGCTAGTAATCTTAGTTATAATACATTATTTTATTATAAAGAACTCTGAAAAATGACTTGTGAAAATTATATTTTGATTTACATAATTGTAAATTTTTGTTGAATGTAGTCTAATTTAATAAAAAATAAGGTTTTAATTTGTAATCCAACTTAATTTAACTTATTAAAGACTCTAATTATGCAAAAATAAGTTTTCTTTATTAAATATAAAATACTTTATAATTAAATTTACATCTATTTTTATAACAAATAAAAATGATTTATTTGAAAATAATAATGAATTTAAAATTAATTTATTCTTTAGGATTATGAAATTATAAATTTAAATGGTATAAATAATAATAATTTATGTTTATTAATTTATTGGCAAATTTATTAAATACAAATAATGATCCTAATAATCAAGAAGAATTTTTTATTTAAAATATAAGTATTTTTTTTCTTTTTTTTTTGGATTTTTATTTTATTTTATTTTATTTTTTTTTTTAAAAAAAAAAGTAATTTAAAGAATATTTATAAAAAAACGTTTTGAAAAATGGCTAATTGTAACTTTTTATTTAATGTAATATATTAATAAAATATATGGAATTTGGATGATTTAGGATGGGATTTGGGATTGGAGTGTAACTTGATATGGGTCAAAGACCATAATATTGGTTGTCACAAACAAATAGTAATGAAAATTTCTAATTATGTGAATTAAACGTAAAGAATTTAATAAATAATTTAAAAAATAGTCATTCATGAATTACAGAATCGCATTTAATGAAAAACATTACCCCAATCCAGAAAATTAAATATAAATCAAAGTTGCATGTGTCCTGGTAATTGTCAATGTATTACCAAGTTACGCAGAAGTTTGTATATACAATGTAAATTCAAGAGCTTTATGAAATTTCAATGAACTATAAATTTGAGCTAGTAGTTCGACTATTTTATATTTTCTAGATTAAAACATCAATAATTGTCTAATTTCATTTTGGTGCGAAATGAATTCTATAGTCTTCGCGTATTAATTACGATGGATGTCATCATCTGGAAAAACTGGAGAAAGGATTGATTTTCATTCCTATTGATCTAAAATTCGAAGGAACAATGTTCGATGAATACAAACAAAATCTGTCAACAGGAAAAGAAAGGCTTGCTTAGTCCTCAAAAGATATTGCTTTTTGGCCTAACCAATTTTAGGAATATATCAACAGATTCGAAATAATTCCCTCCAAGGGATTTATAATTAATTTAGGCGAGGACAATTTTATAATTAACGAGATGATAAGGTTTTTTAATAAATACAAAAAGAATACAAATTATTACTGCCTCAATCGGCGCTCTGTAATAAGCATTAAGAGAAGAGACATCTAACCACAAAAGCAGAAACGAAACCTATTTCTATCTAAAATTATCACCGCATTAAGTTACGCAACTCGTTCAATGCTAATAGCCAAATTTGCTCGACTTCATGAACCTTTTTATCTTTCTCATTTCTAGAAAGATATCCAACTCCGAATTAAGTATATCTCTCGTGCCAACAAAAATTTATTATAAATCAAACTTCAAAATTACAACAATAATAAGAACTTGTAAAAGGTAACTAAATTTTCTAATTTAGTCCTATCCGTCTTATTATTGTCGATATTGTAACTTTTCTTATATCCCGACGAATTGAATCTCCTAATATCTAGTCAACAAAGTTGCTGCTGACCTCTAATCAAGCGAACAATTGAAGTTTCGAAGTCTGAGTCACTGTAACAACAAGAACTTGCAAAAGGTTTTTTTGAAAGACAAAATTCCGAGAATTTGTGATCATTGATTGATTCTAATACTTTACATGCCGTTCCGTAGCTTGCTTGAAATCCTAAGGATGAATATGAAGTTAATAATGATAGGATTAAAGTAAGTTAGAAGAATAATCATACCTCCTCTTCCATGTCCATAAGCATGATATACTTTCTCTCCTAAATTGTAACATATTAGAACCTGGTTTTGAATCGTGGAATATAAATATTTTGACATAGTACATAAAAGGGAAAATTTAAAATTCCAAATTCTAACAGAAGTTTCACACCAAAGAATTTTAACTTGTAATTAAGAATGAAAGTCTAAAGTAGATTTGTCTTCAAAATATTTGTATTCAGAGGGTCATTTTTTTGTAAAATTTTCAAAAAAAAAAAAAAAAATGGGGCTTTTTTTTACTGTTTTTTATTTTCATGGTCAAACAATGGAACCCAATTTTAATATTGTTATTCATTTGAGATTAGATTGGCAATTTTCTTGATCAGAAAAATATGAGTAAACAATCGATTTACATAATGAGAAATTTGTGTAACACCACCACAATGAACAATTATTTTTGGGATGAACGAATCTATTATTTTATACTGTATCTGTTCTTTTCATATCAAATTGTTGAATCCGTTTCTGAAAAAAAAAGATATTCTCAAACTTATCTTTATTATCAACCCTAGTCATATTATTCTTTTTAGAAAATGACGAAGAAAAGATTACAAAATAAGATGATATTTTCACTCGAATCAAAGATAGGGTGAAAAATAATAGTCAAGAAAATCATTGATATCAAAAATTTGCAACCTATTAAAGAGCTGCTTTTAGACCCTCAATGGGATTCAAATCTAAAGATTAAACAGGCCAATTAATTAAAATTTTAATTTTTTTTTCAGCAACCCATGATTTAACATCATTGGCCGTATGAATGGGTAGAATATTTGGTCATTCATATTATATTTTCCCTGTTACGCGATATAAGCAATGAAATTTACAGTCACCTTTTCAAACAGAAATATTATTTGTTCTGTGCAACCATAAACAAAAAAAAAAACCATTTACACATGTAAAAATTGACATAATCCTTTCTTTCCATTTTGGAAGACATGCGTAAAAAAAAAAAATGAGAGATCAATAAATATTCACATTTTCAATTCACAGCACTTAACTCGAGATCATTTCAGTAGAAATGGTTGACTAGCCAAGTAATTATCAGCATTAAAGTAAAAAACGGGACGTGTCGATTTTTACAAGACCGATTTAAAAAACAACTAGCAAAAAAAAAAAAAAAAAAAACGAAAACTGGTTGGTCATAGAAACAACCTGAGATAAGCTTTCAACCATATGTAACTTTATTATTAGTTTCAGTCAATTAGAAATATGCGGGATTCCTTGCATTAATAGTATTAATTTCTACGATGGTAACGAGTAAATTAATACTTTATTGTTTTATTAAGTTTGTTTTTACATTAATGAATTTTTTAATTGGTAATTTTAAGAATTTTTATCTCTGCGCAGCGTTATTTTTTTTATCCGATAAATTTTTTTCTTATCACGTATTTAAATTGTATGAGTTAGTGTTAGTTTAACAAACTTTTAATGTATTTATTAATTAATTAATATTTAATACAAAAAATCAACTTAGCAAAATCAATTTTTTTTAAAAAAAATAATGAGAGACTAAATAAATATACTGTATAATGAAAATTAGTAATTCAATATGTTAGTTATGTTCGAATATTTTATTAATAATATACAATATGTACATTTACAAAATCAACTTAGAAAAATTAAATTATAAAAAACATCGTTTTGTTATACTTTAGTAATTTTTATTTTATCATTATTTTTTGATTGTATAAATTACAAAAAACTTTTTAATATATTTAAACTTGACAAAAAAACTTTAAATTTACAAAAACTTTTTTTTTTTAATTAATATAATAAAAAATTTATTTCGTATATACATACATATTATTAAATACATTTATTTATTTTAAAAAAATTTTATTATTTTATAATTACATTTTTTATTTGATACAAATTTTATTTTTAACTTTATACAATTTTTACTATTTTACCAATATCAACCGATCCACCACCACTTTAACTACCATAACTACCACTTTGACCATTTATTTATAAATCGGACCGTCCTTTCAAAATTCTTTTTCTAAGATAAACAAACTATAACAAATAATAAAGGCAATTTTAGTATTTCTACTAAGTAGAGAGAAAAAGAGAGAACACACAACCACTCGAATTCAAATTACAATAAATTTTGTGCTAGGCAATTAGTAAGAGACCCGACTACTGAATCCAATTACATAAATTTTTTGCTAGACAACCAGTAGGAAGTCTCGTATGCGGTGCCCTATCCTTCAAAAGAACATTAGGGTAGAGTACATTGTTTAACCCCGCATAATACAGACTGGTTGAAACTACTTTAGCCAAGAAGCCC